TAAAAAATGTATGGTAAAAAAATTTCTTGTCTGTTTTTTATCAGGTCCGAAAAAGAGTCTAAAATTCGGGCTTCTAAACCAGAATACCCCCTAAGTCCCCTCTTCTCTGCCTGTGTCTTACTGCATCTCACACCTTTTTGTAAAGACATATAATTTATTTTTTTAAGTACGCCTCGCTTAAGTACCATTTATCATATCATATATCGTATATATATCATATTATATATCACATAATTTTGTGCTTCGTTCAAAACTTTACTTACAAATTTCCCTTCTTATGTACTACGTCAAACATTTTTATTTTTTTTTTTTTTGTTGAAACACATGCAATGTGTTCCTGTGTTAATCAAAATTTATTTTGGCGGCGTAACATTTTTCAGAGTTGAGTTGGGGTGAAAAAATTTATTATGGTGTAAGCAAATTTTAAATTTTGCTGTGCCAAATGGAAAGTAAGATTTTGACATTTGAAATTCAAAACAAACGCAATTACGTCGTTTGAATTTTCGTGATTTTGTAATTGATCTATGAAATATATTCGCAAAATGAATAAAATTTAAAGCAAATACTTTGTTTTGCTAATTACAATATTAATGAGACTATAAAAATTCATTAATTCGAAGATTTGATATTATTTGAGAATTTTAGGCAACGTGTTAGCCGCTTTGAATTAAATATGCATACATATTTATTACTTCATATTAATATTATATTTGAACAAATCCTTTGAAAAAACAGTATTTATTCACATAAGAATTACATCTTTTAAGTATATTTTTCAGCACGTGAACGAAATTTGTGCAAGTTTATCTTTTCTGAAAAGGGAAAATTCAAACTCACGTTTCTCAACGCTTACAGATTGAGTATATATTGATTTCAAGTTTATTAAATATTTTTTCTATTATATTATTATTTTTACTTCCTACTTAAATAATAACAATGGAGAAAAAGGCAATAATTTTAAGTGTAATTCCTATTGAAAGTGTAATTCCTGTATTGAATAGAATAATTAATAGCATATTGTAAATAAATGCATATTTACGAATAAATATCATATTTCAAAACTTTCATGTTTTGTATGCAACGGTTTCTCTAAATTTGGTTCTTCGTGAATGCATATCTCTAAATCACATTTATAAGTTGTCAAAATTTTACCTAGCTCGGAGGCTGGGTTCCGATTCACCAAAAAAAAATATCAAAATTTCACATTCATCTGTCAGAATTTTAATTTTCCTACACGTATATCACACAGACTTTGTAAACAATATGATCTCATATTGCATTGTGTTTATTGTAAAATGTTAGCAGAAAAAATTTGCATCTTTGGTTGTAGCACCTAACCGGGATTGACTGTACATGTACTATGTGCTCTGCATGTAATTAGTATTTAATTAAGTGCGTTTTATTAATTACATACTACACCAATCAATCACGAATACTGATTAAAACGCTTTCAACTTTTAAACGTTCACGAACATTGTACAAACGCACTAGTAACAAATCCTTTTTTTCTACCAATACATACAGAGGAGAATGCTTTTAGAACGACAGAAATTGCGATAAGATTGCATTCAAATGAGGAAATAAAGACGGTTCAAATCTGGTATAGCGTGTTGCCGTGTTATGCTATAAATTTGTTATTAAAATGTTTTAATATTAAGTTTACCTAGATTTTATCAAAATAATATTTATTGAATTATTCATTATTTAATGTTTCGAATTTTATTAAACATATTTATATAATATTGGTAAAAAAGTTTTTATTTTACATTCATTTTATTTAAAACGCTCAGGAAAACAGGAAGTATTTCGATCAGGTGATCTCAATTGAGTAAAAATTTTGACAAATAAAGGATTGTTTTGTTATTTTGATGCCTGTACCAGAGATATAGAGACTTGTCACTTAAAATGGATAGCATAAATCACCTATCCGTCAGTTGACTTGATTGGTTGGGTTTAACGTATAGCAATTGGATCGACTGGAACGGCCAAATTTGTAACCGCTGTTCAACATCAATACTGAAAAATGTAAAATATTAAAAATAACAGAATATGGAAAATTGAAACGAATGATTTTTGATTGTCACAAAAAACGCAAATTTTGAGGCGATATCGCACTGGAAGGAGGGGGCCATCACTTTATCCCTGCCCGTACAATGTTAATGAAGTTCAAAATATAATTTCGATGAACAGTGTTTGCCCCTACAAGGTCATATTCGTGTATTTTTCTACAATTTAGTACTATTCCTTTCTAAATATTTTTATAAAACTTTACAAGTTATTTTCATTGTAACTACAATACTATTATTCACAACAATATGAGTTCGTTACTATGCACATTTTTTGGTCGTTTTTGGGAGAAATATAATTGGGGAAATTAGTATTTTAACGAAGTAGTTATACGTACTACAGGGTTTTCCAATAAGAGTGATATGATTTAAAAAAAAAACCACTAATTTTTAAGGGAATTCAAATGTTTTTATTTGATGTGAATTACTATCGATACAATTAAAGTCTGAATACAACATCACTCAAATGGCCTCCACGACTTCTTTTGCAGGAACGAATTCAATGAACCCAATTTTCAAGTACTTTTTCCACTAAATCAAATCGTATGTCATGAATAGCACGTTCAATACTTACTTCTAAAAATTTAAGAATTTCTGGTTTATTGCTAAAGACTAATGACTTCAAATAACCTCACAAGAAGTAGTCTAATTAAATTACAACTCTTGGGGGCATTCAATGTCGCAATTTCTTGAAATGATCGAATCTCCAAACTTTTCTCGAAATAATTCGGTTGTTGCACGTGATGTGTGGCACGTAGCTCCGTATTGTTGGAACCAGATGTTGTCAAGATCAACTTCTTCCAATTGCGGCCATAAAAAATTAGTTACCGCTCTTCGTTCACAGTAACAGTGTCATCAGCTTCTCGAAAGAAGTACGGACCGATGATTTCCCCCAGACCAAAAACGACACCAAACTGTCAATTTAGATGAATGTAATAGTTGTTCATAAATAATTTTTGGATTTTCTTCGCACCAGAATCGACAGTTTTGTTTATTTACCGCACCACTCATCGTAACCATAACGTTCATTAAATGGCAAAAGCGCACGAAACGTTGCATTGCAGAACGATTATTTTGATAACAAAATTGAATAATTTGTACAAAAATTACAAATCATGACCTATTAAAATTAAAAAAATCGTATCATCCCTATTGGAAAATCCGATATATGCAAAAAATTGCACTTTATTTCTTAATACATACAATAGCGATATTTCCCTCATGTACCTTGGCGCATAAGGTAAAGAATAATACCATTTAAACAACTATGCTTATGCAATTTGACTAAATAATCCCAAAATAACGCTACGGCCAGTCAACAATCAGTTCGATTTTAACAGCAGATTGTGTAACTATTACGAATTATATTATTAAAGCATAAAATTTTGAGTATGAATAGTATTCCGCTTACTGCCCTGTATAAAATAAACTTCCAAAGTCAAATCTTTGATGCAATTACTATTTGGCGTCTGAAACACGTTTAATATTTATTGTGAAAATTGGATCGTAATCCATATTGAGAATTGTAAGATCCAAAGTAAATAGTACACGTTCAATACTTGTCGCGACAGTATTTATTTGTAATAAATCGTGTTTTATAAAAAAAAAGTTTTTTTAATTTATTGTTTGTTTAATTTTTCGTTTGTTTTCTAGCATGTTTGGTTCTGAAGAAAAATCATTCAAAGACAACATTAGAGCAAAAAATGTTAGGAACCATTGTGAAGAATACACGCGAAATTATATTAATAATACGAATTTTAAAATTAAACTTTCGCGGATTTGTAGAGTGTAATTGTCAATTTATTTTTTATGTTGATATACATACCCCTAAGGTATGATAAAATATGAGAAGACTAAACTTTGCATATAAATATAAATAAATACTACATTTTTACTAAAAATCGCACGATTTTTATATTTTTCAATACTTGGTTCCTTTGTATGACGATCCACAATCAACCAACCGGATTACAAAATATTTAAATATTTTGTGATAAGTATGTATGTATTGCGTTCCGTTCATTAAATATCACGATCCTATATGGAGGTCAATATATATTGAAGGTGCAGCAATCGCCTTTCGGTATGGTCGCGGTTAGTGGCAGCAGTTAAATATAATGTCAAACAATTTTTAAATTTTGCTTACGTTTCTTACAGTTTACGTAGACCGTATTCATAATTGACATGATAATTGTAGTGTCTATTTATGTACATGTCCGAATTTCTATTTTTTTATAGGAAGACTCATCTTAAATCTAAACTATTAATGCTATCAACACAAGTATTTGTAAATATTGTGCCTATTTTCTTCTCATAAGTTGGATAGCAATTGAGTAAGCTTTGCAATTCTTTATACATATACCAAATTCAACAAGCTCAGACTGGTTATGTAAATAAATTATAATATTTAAATAGAGTGCTGGTTTTTATAAAATTAACTGTCTTCATAGTTCAAGTTCAATATTTAGTATGTATTCTAAGTGTCGGTTTCCGATATAAATTAGTGAACAAATATCCATACATATGAAGAAAGATAATGGACACATACATAACGTTACCACAAAATAATATCTACAAGAATATTAACTATGTAGTTATAATTATATATTCGCATATATATAATATAAGAATTAAGTTTTTAACATGAAAGTTTGCTTATAATGTTTCTCCATTTTCTAAATTTTTGGGTATCCTCAAACTGTATTGTTATTTTATTAAATAACAACTAAACATGTCATCTGAAACCCACTTATTTGGAATAATTTCAATATACTAATCTACGTTACCTGGATCTGTATTATGTAAAATTACCGTTACTATTGCCTAAACTACTCGATTATAATGTACACAAAAATGTTTTGGATATATTTTCGTCAAAATTGCTCCACACGAATCCTGTCAATTACAACAACTTGGTCTTAATCTAATCAAAAGCAGCAAGACGTCAGGAGATAATTAAAATAACTGAACAACTGATTGAGGCCATAAATAGCGGTGACTTCGATGGATACACGTAAGTTTAATACTAATATATGTATTTTTATGTATGCATGTTTATATCACATATTGCTATAAAAAAAACTTATATACTAGTGTAATAAATTTTTTCCATGACAGAAGATTATTTAATATCCCGTTTATATAAGGCCATTCGTATACGGAAATCAGTATTTTGTATGGCTATTGATCTCAGTGTACTAGAAAAAAATCCCTATGTTAAGGGAAGGAGCTTAAATGTGCTGAAAAACTCGTAAAATGACAAAGAGAAATGGAGTACAACGAAATTCTTTGAAATTTTAAATGGAATTAATTTGTACGTTCGTTGGAAAATTATTAGATTCCTAGGATCGGATAAAGTATTATAAGGAAGCAAGGTTGCAAATAATGCAGTAAACAAATAATTGAATTAGCATTATGTATAATGAAAATTTTTTTAGGGGATCCCAAACACCGTAATGAAAAATAAGAAAATGTTAATCCCACCAACCGGGTTAAAGATTTATTCAATTTTAAATGATAATTTTAATTTAATTAAATTTTAATCCCAAGCATATAATTAACAATTAAAACAAGCAAGGAAGGCCGAAGTTCGGGTGTAACCGAACATTTCATACTCTTGCAACATGGAAGGATCAAAGCCGGCTAATACCTTCCTACCTAAAAAATGTAGCGAAAGGGTTTAACTTCATTGTTCGACGAAATCGTGAAAGGATTATAATCAAATTTGCTGTCATATTAACTTATTTTGAAAGGCATAGGCTCTCTTAGTTTTTTTACTATATTTTTGTTCCTGTTAATAACTCTAAAATGTACCAATTTTCCCGGCAATTGACCGTCACTGTTATTGTTAAAAAGAGATCCTTGCGATTTATATTGCTAACTATAGTTTTACATATATAAGAATGAAATAGCTGCATTCTTTAGTTCTGTTACCACTTACAGTGTCAATGTTTCCAAAAGCAAATTCTGTATACGTCGAAAAGAACCAGCACACATTTCCATAGAAGTTTCGAGAAGTTGGGAAATACCTATGTTGCTGTTATTCCGTGCGATTAACCAAAAGTATTGCTACCTGTGCAATAAGTCTTTTTGTGTTAAAAAAATAAATACACTACGAAGAAGTTTGCAAATATAATATACGCAAGTTAATATTATGTTTAAATTATATTTTTAGTTATTTTCATTTTTATTTAGGCATTTTTTAACTCCGAAATATCCATTACCTAGAGAAACACGTACAGCAGAGCTTTTGAGAGGAGCAAGCATGGAATCAAGTGTAAATGACTTTTCATAGATTATTATTTAATTATATTTTTGTTGCACTCCTTTTTTATATCTATGTACTCGTATATTATTTTATAACTAATTTTAATTAAAAGTTTTGAATTTATTAAAGAAATAAAAATTATATTATCTACTGCGCAGAAGAATTTTTCACTTGTGATAGATTTACATTCATAACTGACAAATGGCAGCTATGATAGCTTTTCAGTCATAACTGACAATTTTTTAGTTTGATGGATTTATGGTCAGCAATGGTTCAAAAAAAGGCACGAGAGTGAGCAGTATAGATATATAGTGAATCATATCCGAATACCCATGTGTTAAAGAGAGATGCAAACTCACACACATACGTTTGCTTACATCAGTGTTTGCACAAGGTTCATAAGAAAATTAATGAAACTTTGTTCTGCGCACTGATACAATTTTTTCAGCTGTGACTGTCATGTCACCGGTCAGATGACTTTCACTGTTTATCAATGCATACATTTATTTATGTATGCATGCGTATTGAAATATAAATGCATATAATTTTATGTTTGTTTATGTCTATATGTACGTTTTTTACTACCTCAGCATTATTGATGATAAGCATGTTCAAAGATATTTGAACACTTCCCGTCAGCGAGAGTTATACTTAAATCATTCTCCCATGAGATGTATGTGATATAAACTCAACCAACAAGAGGCTAAATTCAATATATTTAGTTGATGTACAAAACGTCAACTAAGGAATCGGAATTTATTATATTAGGGATATGAGGTTTAGACCAAGACCAATTGGTTTATATTGGGCGCCAAACCGTTAATAAAATTTTATAACTTTCAAGAAAACGTGTCCACTTAATTTCATTAAAATATCACACATTTTGATCGACCTAAAAGGTTTAAAGTCAGGTGGAAAGTTGGAAATCATTATGTAGGATATGTTGTGGGCAGAGAAATGGAAGGGCTAATTGCATTAATTTTTAACATTGCTCAGGTATACTTTAGAACTTATTTTCAAGCGTAGTAAACATAGTAGATATGGAGTAAAGTCAGCCGGGCGTTTCAAAATCCTGAATATTATATATTATATGCTGGCTAAGGCAAGTTTTCTCCAGATTTTATCCATTTTAGGCACAAATATACATTGTTTATAAAAAAAAACACGCTCTCTAAATTTTATTAAAATAACTTGCACATTGGCCGCTATATGTGGTATAAAGTCGACTGAAAGTTCAAAAATCTTTATATAATATTAGGTATATCGGGGCTAAGGAAAGTATTGACTAGATTCAACCCACACAGATTGACCGATATTTTCGGCAAAAAGTCAGCCGTACGCACTACGGTCCACATATTTGTCGTCCGCATTCTTGAAAAGTTATCGTCCGATTGAGACGATTTCATTCGTTATGTTACTAGATTTTTACCCAAGTGACTATTATACTCTGTAGCAACAAGTTGCAAGAAATTGTTGTAAAATTAAAATTTTTTCGTGTTAGAGTACTATGTGTTCTACCATTTTGAACTAGAGAAATTAAGGTTTAAATTTTACTATTAAATAAAAAGATTCAATTTTTAATTTAAATAATAATTTATTTTTAATCCAATTAGATTTTTAATCCTAAACCAATCATTTTATAATGTTAATAAGCGTTGTTAATGCTTTAAAATACTCCGCAATAAAAGAAATATGAAGGAAGTAAATATTATTTGAAAAATACTGTACACGACTTGTCTTGAGCGGCTACCATGTAGCTATAAAGCAAATACCACGATACGAGATTTTAAATTCACATCTACGACAGCATTCTACAACACAATACTTTAGTATATTTTTTGGTGGCTCATACCATGTCTTGGGGCAGTGAATACTACATATCGGTTTTAACGAATGCGGATTTTTTTTACCACATTTCCCCTGTATAAAAGGAAGTTTTAAGAAATTAATTAAAGTTAAACTCTTGCATTAGACTCTATAGCAACATATTCATTCGTCCAATGTAAAAAAAAAACTCTTTGTCTAAATCTAAATAGTTTTTAAAATTTATATACAAATATTTACATCTGTTAACATAATTTTTATTTTTACAATTTTCAGGAAAATTTGCGATCCCCACTTAACTGCATTTGAGCCTGAAGCTTTAGGCAACCTTGTCGAAGGAATTGATTTCCATAAATTTTACTTTGAGAACGGTAATTATCCAAAATTTTAAAATGTCTATTTATTTTAGCAAACATCGAAAAAATACAATTCTTCAGGAAAAAAAGTCAAATCTGAATGTAATAGTCAAACGCTTCATATGAATAATAGAATATTTTTCGCTATCCACTATATATTTACAATAACTTAACCGGTTTATAGTCAATCGGAAAGTCGAAAATCACTATATTGGATGAAGTAGGGCTGAAGGAAAATCAGCACTAATTGCCCTTAAAGTATGCCAGAAGGAATAACTCAACTTTCGTATAAGTCAAATATACCAGAATAATGAAACTCACTACATGTACTATGTGGGACCTAAATTAATTCAACGACCAATTTCACCCCCTTTTTTTGACACCAAACTATGATTGAAGGTTCACTTATTTTTAGAATATATTATACTAGAAGACCCCGCCCACGCCTTGCTGTTTCTAAGATGTAATTAAATTATACTACATTATTTATCACTTCGAATAAATATACAATCACAAACATCAACGATTACGATCAAAATACGATCACGAATCGATTGTAATGTGATAATGTAAGTATTGTATTATTATGATTTGATATATAATTTTTTTTATTTATGAATTGTTTTAATTTTTTGGAAAAAATGATAATAACTGCCTATATCCGTTCCCAGATTCTAAGCTACCTCCGAACCAATTTTCAGCCAAATTTCTTTTTATATATGTATGTATATAAATACATAGATGATCCCATACAGAGCGTAAAAAAGCACAATACATTCATGTTACATATAGTGAAGCTGGTGTACTTACCGTTTCTGTGGAATGCAAGCAGTCTTTATCACGACGAATAAAATTCCAAGTACACAATCACAAACTTCAATGATTACGATCCCGAATCGATTGTAATGTGATATGTGAGTCGTAATGTAAATCAGCAACCTGCCTTACCTATAACTTACCGACTGTACATAGTAGTGATAGTGTATAACGGTGCAGGAGATGTCTAATAAATAATAAATAGAATAAACAAATTACTGTGCAAATTTTCACGTCTTTCCGTGCTGTGGTTCGGACGTTCTTCGAGTACATAACGAAATAGCGTTTCATTTTTAATACGCTTTTATTAGCTTGGGTTGTATGTATGTAATTGAATCTTAGAGCTCAATTTTCACCTGTTTCCAGAAGTCTGAACAACTTGAAACTTTGCATACGTGCCAAGGACCGATGACAATGCAATAATCTGATAACATTTTCCCATTATTTTAAAGGTGGACGTAACCCCGCCCCCTAGATGGTTTAATGTATATATCTTCCAAACCGCTAAAGCTAACTCAACCAAATTTGCTGAGAGGAAGTACTTTTAGACCTTTTTCATACGCAAAATCAGATAATAACCACGCCCATTCCCCATTTAATAGTTGTGTTAAAATATACTAAAAGTGCCATAACTGACGAAATAAATGCGCCATAACCATTAAATTTCTCCAACAAGATGGTAGCGAAGAGCTTCATAGGAGGAGGTGTAAAAATTGTAAAATAGGCGTGGCACCACCAACCTTTAGGTGAAATCCTATATCTCAGAAACTATCCAACTAATGTCAACCAAATTTGGTATGTGAGGTTACCCAGCCACTCCTATCACACACTTCGAAAATGGACGAAATCGTTTTAATAACTTTAACTTTATTATAATTTTATTTTATGATTAAAAGCTGGCAACACTTCAAGAACTATTGTGTGTAATTTTGCAAAATTTCTTAAACTTTAATTGATTTTTTAGTGATTTAGTTCAATATTTAGTGATTTTAACTCGGAGCTGCAAGAAAAGTATTAAATGTTCTTCAGTTTTGTGCAGCAGTAAAAAGTTTAAACTTTCGAATTTTTGGTGCCGAGTCAGCTTTTTGTTTCATTTTGTTTTATTTCATTCTATTGTCTTTCTTTATTTATCTCATTTACGTCTTTATTCACAGCTGTGTTGCGTTTAGCTTTTTATTTGTTACAGTGCTTCTAAAACTGCTCGCTATATTGCTTTTTCAAACTGTCAAACTGGTTTTAAACTTTGATTAAAAAAAATTAAAAAAATTGCTATTATTTTTGCGTTTATTCTTAATTGAATTTATTATTATTAATATTTTGTTAACACGCTAATTTATTATATATCTATTAAATTTTGTTCTACTTACTCTTTTATTTGATCTTCATTCTTGTTATTTATTATGACTTGTAACTTCCCCAATTGTAACATTAAAGGCGAGTCACATCGCTACGTTTCATGCTGGCTTTGTGATGGGCTTGCCCATATTAAATGCGCTGGACTGACTGGTAGAATCTTAGATTCTATTCTCGACTGTAAGGGATTTCGTTGGTCCTGTTGTAATTGTAGATCTATTGAAATCGATCTATTTATAGGGAGACACGCAATGGCTTTAACGAAATCGGTCGTGATCTTGTAACCCTCACTGAAAAATTTAGGCACTATGAAAAATTGTTCAAATTTTTTAAGTGCCTGAATGATTCTCACGAATCCTCTAAACCTGCTTCTAAGCGTAAACGTCCTTCCGATGAAGTAACACTTAGTTCTTCTGTTCAGAAAAGAACGTCTCCTCCCAATGACCTAATAAATCTCTCTTCTCCTTGCCCTATAAGCCGTCAACTTCCAAAGGGCTTAATTCCCCAAAAGCTCTATCTAATAGTAATAAGTGTCTCACAATTCCAGAGGCTCCCCCTATTAACTTAGTAGCATCAGTTTATAATTTGATAGTTATTCCACCTAAAAAGTCTATAGTTATTTCGAGACTTGCCAAAGATACCTTGGTGGAGGACATTAAGTCTTACATTTCGTAGCGTTTAAAAATCGATGATATCAATATACGTAAATTTAACTTCAATTATGATAGAAGTATATCATCGTTTAAAATAGACGTATCTCTTGAAACATTCAAAAAGATCTTAGATAGTTCATTCTGGCCACCTGAATTTAAACCTAAACTTAGAAGTCAAACTGAGGAAAACATTGTTAAATTACCAAAAGCAACCACCGATATAAAACACTGATTGGTAGAAATTCGCTAAGCATTTATTATCAAAATATTAGAGGTCTTAATACAAAATTAACTGACTTGTATTTGAACAGATCCAATTTTAATTTCCATATAATTGGATTTACAGAAACTTGGTTAACACCTCACATTTTTGATAATGAGATTTTAAACAGCGAATTTCAAATTTTTAGATGTGATCGACTAAACAGAATCGGTGGAGGTGTTCTATTTGCCGTGCATTCCTCTATCCCATCTGAAAATATTCTTGTTCCAGGGACCGACTCATTTGAATTTAAATGTATTAGAGTATACGTTAATAGTTGCTTTATTTATTTAACCCTATCTTATATACCACCCCATTCGGACTTATCTGTATACATGCAGCATGCTTCTTTAATAAATAGTGCTACCTCGATGGCAAATAATGCAGATTCAATAATTGTATTGGGTGATTTCAATTTAAAGTGTGCTTCGTGGAAACCTTTCGATGACTATATCGTGCCGATTTGCAATTGGTCATGTTTTAATGAGTTTTTCGAAAAAATGTCCGAGTTGGGTCTGAACCAAATTAATTTGATTCCGAATAAATTTGGTAAATGCTTAGATTTAGTATACGTTGATACCTCTTCAAAGTGTTCCGTTATTCAGAATAATCCTCTTGTTCTACCAGAGGACTCATATCATCCTGCTTTGGAAATATCTGTCGAAATCTCAGGCAATGTACGGGATAATAATCATCAAACTTCGTGCTTCTGTACTCGGTTTAACTTTGCAAAAGCTAATTTTAAAAAGTTAAATACAGAACTTTCTACAATAACATGGCCTAATTATAATGGTGACATTGAATTGAGTGTCTCTCATTTTAATAACATTATTATGAAATTATTTGAAAAGTATGTTCCAATAGCAATTGTTAATAAAAGCAAAAGTATAAGTCCGTGGTTTTCGAAAGAGTTATATAAATTGAAAAACTCGAGCCTTCAAACATTTTAAAAAAATCGGTTCACTTGTCGACTATTCTAAATATTCTCTATTGTGTCGACAATATTTTGACCTAAACAAAAAATGTTATAATAATTACTTAAATAAAGTAAAAACAAATATTGTAAGTAATCCAAAATCGTTTTATGATTTCGTCAACTCCAAACGCAGGATTTCCAAATTTCCCTCCGCAATGAAATACAAATCTATCATTTCAAGTGACAATGATATTATATCCAATATGTTTGCAGAATTTTTCAAGTCAAACTACTGTAATAATTCTTCCAAAACTTTTTCTTATCAGCAAGTGCTGTGTTCGAATACTTTAATTAACGCTCCAATTATTTCTGAAGAAGACGTCCTACTTAATTTAAATAAGTTAAAACCATCTTTTAGTTATGGCCCAGACATGATACCCTCATGCTTCCTAAAAAATAGTGCCAAATATATTTACTTGCCTTTGACAAGGATATTTAATTCCTCTCTTAAACACGGTATATTTCCTTCAATATGGAAACAGTTATTTATAATCCCTTTGCATAAAAGTGGATTTAGATCCAACATTGAAAACTATAGAGGTATCGCAAAACTATCAGTTATACCTAAACTTTTTGAAGCTATCATCACTGACCATATAATCTTTTCGATTTCTCCGTTAATTTCCTCATCTCAGCATGGATTTCGTAAAGGGAATTCGACTATAACAAACTTACTTGAATTTGTAAACCATGTATCATTGGGTTTTAGGGAACATAAGCATACGGATGTTATATACACAGACTTTAGCAAAGCTTTCGATAAAGTAAATATGTCGATTCTCATACATAAACTTGATCTGCTGGGCTTTCAGCCAAGATTCCTTCAATGGGTATCTTCCTATCTTTATAATAGAACACAACGAGTGCTATTTGAGGATACACCTTCAGATACAATTAATGTTTCTTCAGGTGTTCCGCAAGGTAGTCATCTTGGCCCGATTCTGTTCTTGTTGTTTATTAACGATATCTCTTCAGTAATAGAATTCTCAAACATTTTATTATACGCTGACGATGTAAAGCTTTTTAAATCATACACTTCAACTGAGGAAAGGTGTCTGTTGCAAACAGACTTAAACAATTTGGTTGCATGGTGTGATAGAAATGATTTGCCATTGAATCTCAATAAATGTAAGACGATGTGCTTTTCCCGTAGATCTGTGCACCCCTCTTCTTATGTAATAAAACACCATATTCTAGAGCAAGTTTTTAACTATGTTGATTTGGGAGTTAATATGGACCCTAAGCTTAATTTCAGTCTTCATATTGATACCATGGTCTTGAAAGCAAAAGCTGTCCTCAGTTTTGTTAAACGTTGGTCTAAAGAATTTAGAGATCCGTATATTACTAAAACACTTTATACAACTTTGGTTAGACCTATATTGGAATATGGCTCTGTGGTATGGAACCCTAGCTACCAAATCCATTCTGACAAGTTAGAGTCGGTTCAAAAACAATTTTTACTTTTCGCCTTAGCGCATTTCCGATGGGATGCTAGGGTAAGTCTACCTCCATACACTAGTCGTTTAAAACTTATTAATCTACCTACACTTTCTAGTCGTAGGGAAATGCTTGGCATAATATTCTTAGTGAAACTTTTGAATGGAACTGTTTGCAGTTCTTTTCTCCTGTCTGAAATTAAATTTAATATCCCGGTTCGCCTTTCGAGGCAGTTTAGACCTTTACTGCTAAAATCCTGTAGATCAAATTTTGAACTAAACGAGCCATTCCGCCGTATATGTCATGATTTTAATTCTCATTCCAGCACATTTGACTTATCTGACTCACTTTTCAAAATTAAAAAGACTTTATTGTTTTCTCTTAATAAATGAAAATGTAACAATTTATTATATTGTAACTTTAGATCTTAGCTGTTAAAATTTTTGTTTCTGTAGCTGAGCAGTTTTAGATCTCAACACTTAAAAAACTCTCTTGCCTTTTCTGACTCGGCTAATTCCGCACGTATGCGCGCCGCGTCGGTTGGGCGGGAGGAGGTAATCGTTGGGTTATTATTATTATTATTAATTAATCATGATTGATTGTTTGACCTGCTACTACTATAATATAAACTCTTTGTAATTAAGAATTATTTCCTTCTTTTTGGTTCGATTAGCTATAAAAGCGTGTTTTTTTAGTTTTTTTAAACTATTATCTTTATATTGTATATAAGATATTGCGGAATATGGTATATGCAATATAAAGTCAACCGGAAGTTCGAAAATCATTATAATAGGTATATCGTTAGGGGAAGCACTGAACCGATTCTATTCAAAAGGCTGGGCCTTTTCATTTCCTTCTATACCTATATAAGGATATTTACCGATTTTGCGTCCTTAAATAACCATAGGCAGTGAGACTTCATTCTTGCGCTACCGATAGCCTTTACTGCCGTTTGGCTATCCGCAAGAAAGTGATTAGACTTTCTGGTTAGAACAGAAATCCATTTCTGTCAGTGCATAATACTTTATTATCAGGAAAAGATGCCCTCGTAATTCCATTAAACTATCTCATGCAACAAAAAATGTTGTCTTAGTGATAAAAAATTTATTTCCAAATTGTATTTTGGAGTGAACTGAATAACAGAGTAAAGAGAGTTAACGTCTCCTTTTGTAATGACCATTTGGTTTTTTTAATTCAATTTCTTGTCTTTGTCTTTCCTACTTTTTAAGCTTTGGAAATGATCAGTATGACGAGCTGAGTCGATTTAGCCATGTACGTCTGTATATGCGAGAGAGATTTCATATGAATTCTTGTCAAAAGAAATTTTACATTGTCGGAAGAAGTTTTTCAGATCGGACTACGATAGCATATAGCTGACATACAAACTGATCGATTAAGAGCAAGGTCTTGTATTAAAAACCTTTTTAATTGGCAAGCTATGTTCATCGAAATTTCACATGGTTTTATCCCCTAAGTAACAGTACAATCTCCAAATAATTTTTTTTTTTTCCAAATCAGACTACTATAGCGAACACTATCGACAACGTATCGTCTCAGGCGTAGATTATTATCTAAGGCGTCGCCACAATCTTCGAGCATATTGTTCAGATCGAACCACTGTAGCATATAGCTGCCATATAAACTGACAGATCAAAACCAAGGGAAAAATTTTTGTATACTCTTTTATGCACCTGTGACCGGTATTATTGTTTCGGTGCAGAGGAAGCTTACGTTTTTTCTTGTTTTTATTTACTTTAGTATATTATGGAAATTTATTATTGCATTGTTTTCAGATTCCTTAAAAGTAAACAAATAATAAATTTTACATTTAGAAAGCAATAATTTTTGCCATTAGATAACGGTACTTTTGTTAAAAAACCATTTATAATTTACCGCTGAAAATTTTTCATTAGTAATTGCTTAATATGTTTTCTTTTTTCTTCCCTCCAGTACTGGGCAAAAATTGTAAAGCCATAAATACTACTATTCTGAATCCTCATGTCCATTTGCTGGGAGAAGATGCAGCATGCATTGCCTATGTACGTCTAACACAATATATAGACAAGTAAGTATATCGCCATTTAACAACAATGAAATCAAAGCATTAAAATTAACTTGGAATATATTAGCCGCCCTTTTTACGCGTATATGCATCAACGCTATGATCGAGAATTGGTTGCGTGATCCTATGCTGTATGCCAGTAATCGTTTGCGGAGTTATTATAACAAATTTAACGTTTTTATTTAAAAACGATTTAGCTAATTTAAAGAAATATTTGCTTATTTGTATTATTAATTCTATGTCATTAAATTTTTAGTACATCAAGTCGCATTTAATGTTTGACACCATGATTTGCTACAGCTGCTAATTATGGTGTAATCCCAACTAGCACTTAGCCCATAATTTGCAATCTTCTGATTTAGTACGTACTGCAATACCGGATAAATAATTTCGTAAAAAAGCATACGGGCTATCAGCTATTTGCAATACAAATCTGTTTAAATTAATATTAATACAAAAAAGTTATTTTAGCTATTAACACTAACTCACTGCTAACGTTTCACCCTATATTAGGCAAGGACATGCACATACGCACCAGTCAGAGGAAACACGTGTGTGGCATAAACGAGATAATAAGTGGCAGAATGTACATTTTCATCGTAGCGCGTCCGGCAAAATTAGCGGTGCAACAACTTTTGATTTTATTCAACAGAAGTAGAATGATTAACGTATAACGATGTCGGTAAGCATACCACAACTACTGTTTGAGACAGTTAATTATATAAATTAACTGTGGGGCTTGCTCAGAAATACCAACCAACTATAATGTTACCAAACAATTTAACAAAAACAACAATTTTAATAGTACGAGAAATAATGGGAGAAATTTAAACTAATATTGAATTCATGAAGCAGTTTGTACACTTTTTATTGGAAGAAAACCGGTAACAATAACAATAAAATAAAAGGTTTTTGTGGTATTGAAATGCATTCATAATTAAAGCAGATTATTGTTGTGCAATTGTTTCCAACATGTTTGGTCTTTGAGTAAAAGAAGATGGTGGACATACTTTACTTATAATAAATATAAAAGAGGATACAATATTTAAGTGCCGCAAAGTGAAGGCAAAATATAAGGGTGTTATAATAAATATATATATATAAATGAAAAACTAAATTATGCAAACTGCAGGTGCTACGAGATGATATTATTTGTCTTCATGTTAGAAAATTGCAAAAACATAGCAAATGAAAAAAGAAAAGATATGGATTTATTTTAAATAGTTATGAATTAAAAAAGTGAAATAGATAATGAAAAGATAAAATTATTGAAAATAAAGTGCGTATAATGCACGTTGTGCGCAAAATATTGTAAACTTTCTTAAACTGTTTGTTATTTAAGTGAAATGTGAAAATATAACAATGAGTTTAATTAAGATTTTATGCAACAACTATTTAAGTATTTATTGGTAATCGCTTATATACCTACTTGTATGTAGCTAATTATTTCTGATGTAAGGTTACGTTTGTACTTTGTGTTTGTCTACTACATAAAATTCTGTCAGAGTTTAACTTTCAAATAAAAAAAATTAATTGAAAATTTAACATTATTACTGTGTGTGAAAACAAACAAAAAAGGGGATAAAGAGATTTACTGGAGATAATTAGGTTAAAGATAATAAAATTTTGAATACTAAATTTTTAAATAGCACAACTAATAAGTTAAATCTTACAAAGTAATTAAGAAAAAAAAACTTACAAACCGACACAATGTTTACCCCTAAGCTATGAAAATAATGTTTAAACAAAATGTGGCATAAAAATTGCAAAGCAAGTATACTAAGGTTCAACAAATATTTAATTATTTATTAAAAAAAGCATATTTGTGTTGTGAAGTTTAAAATGCGCTGTAAATGAAAAGCTTATAACTGATACATGCTATATAAATACACATCTATATATTTTTTGTGTTTAACAAATTCAAGTTCACTCGAAAAAATTTTAAATTTCCGTTGGTTCAATTGTTAAAAACGTAATGGCATTCTTTGATTCTAAGCTCTCCAACGCAAAAAATTTCATGTGAAAGTAGCAAAAAAGTTTACCAGTTAACGTCAAAAAAAGATAGAAGTGGTGTAACTGGTTCACATATGTTTGCTATATTCTTTGGAATATCAATTTTGCTTAAGATTCTCATCCAAATTTATATATCTTCAATGAAAGCGCGTCGAGTTATGTGCAAGCGGTACTTAATACAATTTAACGATTTCACAAATCGTGCTATCTGTTGAATTTGTTGTGAACTCACACTTTACCACATATGCAGACCGCGACTAACGATTAACATAAAAAGTTATTTGTATGTTAAATAAAGTTAATAATTGTTGATATTACATCATTTCTTCGATAATTCCAAAATAATATGTAGCATATACCTTTGACTGGCTTTCTTTACAAAAAAACATACAAAAAACTGATTATATGCTTCAATTAAAGCAAATATTTCAGAACATTGTGTGAAAAAACTAGCACAAGGCTTATGGAACGTAGATGTGATGCCGAGTTGACAGTCAGTTACTTAGACCCGACGGACAACTAATCGAGTCTTTAGCACTGGCTACTTGAAAAATATTTGCCGGTATTTACCGTTTGAACGGCAAAATATTCTAGTCTTACCGCTCTAGTAAATCGTTCCAATTAATGCGATTGCAAACATTGAAAATTTTGTTATTCTTTTAACGGGTTAGGTGTAGTAAGAGACATGAAAAACTCCTTGCGGCGACCATCACTAATCCTAGGAGATTAATCTAAAATCAATGGAAAAAAATTGGTTTTATTAATAGATAATCTAGTGCTTGATCGGAGCCTTTTGTTTTTTTAACTAACAAGATGGCGGCCTGAGGAAAATTTTTTCGTGAAAAAGCCAACAGGTAATTGTTTACAAAATAATTGTTTTATAATAAAAAAATCTTTCGATCAGGCACTAGTATTTCATGTTTTCTAAAAGCTTTTCATTCTGTTTCATTGAAATCTACCGAGCAGTTTTCGAGCTAGAGGGATCACCAGTTACAAAAACATAGTTTTGAGAAAAACTCATAACGCATTTCAAGGACTCAAAACTCGTCTGATTTACTTTTAATTTTCAGAGACTATTTCTAAGATGTTTTTTGTACTTAATATCGACTTTTTGATAATTCTGACTCCCCTTAATGTCCTTAACCCCATAAAGCGACCACACTTATCAGACCTAGTGCCTAGCTAATGAGCATTCGAAATACTATTAAATTTCTATCAGCCTATTTACCTTACCTAACGTAACTTGTAGTCATATTTAGTCTTCTGGTATTGCAAATACATAGCGCGAAGGATCTTAACTTTTACTGATGTTACTGTGGTTAAATAACCAACAAGGGAAAAACGTTGTAGAAAATTGTGTTTGTCATTGTCATTTATGACAAAACTAAAGCTAACATTGATGTTATCAGTTACATTTAAATATATTACTAATCAGTGTGTATAAAGAAAGTAAAAGTGTTGTATTTCAAATCGTGTTCAATTCCCAACAAAATTGTATATTACAAAATAGAAAGCAGCAAATTTTAAGAAAAAAAAAAACGAATATTCAGTAGGCAATTAATCTTGCAGACCCTATAGGGATAGCGCTTATTTTAACTACTTTTTACGTAAAATATTTTCTCTTCACGATAAACTACAAATTTTCCATCAGATTAATATCCAAGATTGTATTTTGGACACTACAACAATTGAATATTGTGTGCGATTTCGGTACTTTCCTAACATCGCTATCCTTCTGCGTATCCGATTTTAATACCCTGGACAAGGTATATTAATTTTGCCACGAAGTTTGTAACATCCAGAAGGAAACGTCAGAGACCCAATAAAATATAAGTATAAATGATCAGCGTGACAAGCTGAGTTGATCTAGCCTTGCCCGTCTGTCTGTCTGTATATACGAAAACTAGTCCCTCAGGTTTTGAGATATCGCCCTGTAATTTTGTACACGTCCTTTTCTCTCCAAGAAGCTTCTCATTTGTCTGAAGCGGCGATATCGAATCACTATAGTATAAAGCTGCCATACAAACTGAACGATCAAAACCATGTCCTTGTACTGACAACTTTTTTATTTGACTAGATATATTTATGAAACTTGGTATGGATTATTGCCGGTATAAGCCCCGAGAAAATTGTTCAGATCGTACCACTATATCTATGCTGCCATACAAACTGATCGATCAAAATCAATACAAAGATCTTTTTATACCGTTTTATGATATAATATATGCTACTGTGAAGGGTATTATAATTTCGGTGCAACTGAAGTTAACTTTTTTTTCTTAAGTATTCAGAATGCTCCCTTTATAAATTCTTTTCTTAGTACTCATAATAAGATTATCTGATCAATAATAATAGCGAAATTGAAAACCAATTTTAACAGTTGACCGTTATAGTAGCTAATAACAATAACAAAACAATATTTTTTAATAGAATCAAGAAGATGGTACTAAATACACAGTTATTTTTCTAGTTATAGTCAAAATATACTTACTAGATAACTAAAATAAAAAAGTCTACTTTTATGTTTTCCTTGTCACAGTCAGTTATAGGTAGATTAAATATCAACAAATCTTTCGACATTGAAAATACTAGTTAGATTTTATGTAAAAATAAAACCCGACTACAAAAAGTTAAAATGAAGCTACAATTTATCAGCCTTTCGGAAATCAATAAATATACGATATGTGGGGTTACAATAAGACGCACAACCACAAATATTGAGAGAATTCAGGCTAAACACTATCAATGATGTTACTATCAATTGCATATGTACCTATTAGTTTTACAATTTTGAACAAAGGCGGAATACCAAATGTTAAAATACTCAACACTTTGAACGGAATCCCATTATTTGGCAAATTTATTTTATAAACGGGGATAATATTAGTATGGGTTGCGAAATTTTTGACTAAAAAATTTTGATTGAAAACTTTTTAAATCTAATTTTTAATCCTAACATCAGAAATTGGACAGTTAATTTTTAATCCAAGATGTTGGGATTAAAAATTTGAAATCTAATTTACAATCCAAATTCTTTTGATCAAAAATTTCGTAACCCTGGATATGAAATCGAAAATTTGAAATCTAATTTTTAATCCAAAATGATTGAGATTAAAAATTGACATTTTTATTTTTGAATTCAATAGTTATATTTGAAAATTGTATAAATTGAAAAATTTAAAAAATGTTTAATCCCAAAGTCAGAATTAAAAGTTGATAAAATATAAATGCTTTGAATGTGTAAGTTTGTCGACCAGTGCTTCAGAGCCTTGATTATTGAAAATGATGGCTCTGTGCTTGTTCAAAATTTTGGAACACGAAAAACGCAAAAGCGGAACAATGTTATTTCTATTTTACTTTTTTAATTTTAATTTATATTCTTGGAATTCAGTTTTTTTTCAATCCAATATTTGATATTAAAAATTTATTTTTAATTTATTTATTTTTAATTTTTAATCCGGTTTTTGGACTTAATTTGTTTTTATATTTTTTTATCCTTTATTTGGAATTAAACATTTAAAAATTATATTTGATTTTCGGGGTTGCAAAATAAATACCAAATTTAATTCAAATGTTAATTCAATTAATTGCATTTTTTGCAACCGTACACTGGTACACAGTATATAATTACAGTAAAAGTAATGGTTCTTTTATATACTATCTGGCAGTAATAATGCAATGTTATATTTGAAATTTTGTATTTGAAAAAATTGCAGAAGTTTTTACACAAATTGGAACGAAAAGTTCTATTCTCTATTGTTACTAATGACGATGCAATAATTTTTTAATTTCTTTTTTATTGAGGACCTAACTCAAAACATACTTTTATCTAAATATATATTAATTTGGCCGAATATTTTAGGCTTGCTTGTACTAGATACCTATGATATATATACACATATACATACATATTTGCCAATATTCCCAGGAAAGTATTCGAATTTTTACATTAATCTGTCAAATTTTCTGTCGATTGGTACACAGCCAAATTAACACTTATAGTAATGTTCGTTGTCAATTATAATAAGGGTGCCTGGAGAGAAAACGTTCAAAGCCGAGCCGAGCGCAAAGCTGACGAGTCCGATAAATCAGATTTAAAACTGTGCATGCACATTTTCATAAGAATTCGCACAGGCGCCGCAGAGTGAAATCCGAGCGTAAAGCTGATCTTTGTGAGAAAACCAGTTTTGAAGCGCTTTTCGGCGCCGACTTGCTTGTTGCATAGTTCATTTGTAAGATGGTCTCATATTTTGCGCTGAATCTTCCATTTACTTTGCGGTACCTCAATTCGACCAGCGCTGATCGAAATAAGTCTTGCGCTCAGCTCGGCTTTGAGCGACTACTCTGCAGGCACCCTTAGACATGACCGTTTAATACGAAATATATAAAGAAGGCAAATTAATACCGATTAATATATATTAATATTAAATATTATAAGGAGGGTACATTGTTAAATTGACTCGATTTCCGAAAATATATAGATGGAAAAAATCATTCAGCAATATTGATTAAAAAAATGATACCCTAAATAATATTAATTTTATTATGAGAGCAAAAAACTGGACAGAGTCCAAAGTTTAAACAAAATAATCTTATAGTTTAAAAACATGTATACGTGAATAATACAACAGCCATCCCGTGGAAGTTGGTCCACGTTCGCTGGGAACTACTTCCTTTACGGATAATTTGAAACAATGTTCATTGTACTTATTATGTATATATTTGGGAAACAGATTATCGTTAATTGTAATCAAATAACATGTAGTAGACAAAATCAATTACAACATAGTCCACTTTGTTTTAGAAATGGTAAGTTGAAAGGATCTCCAATAACAAAAATTAAAGGATATTTAAATGAAATGTTGTATATGTGTAATGAAGAAAACCAATGTTAATGACAACAAGATAACATAACACAAGATCTGTAAAACATAATACAAATACGTAGATTATGTAAAGAGATCTAACAATCTAAAAGCTTAAAAGTAAACTGAACTTGAGAAGGCTTACCGCTTTCAAATTTAAATGGAAACACGCTAGTCATATTATCCAAATGAAAACCGACTTTCTGTTCTTTAGTAGGTAGATGAACTTGAGAATGCAGACAAATTTATGAACTGTTATGCTTTTTGGTTTAACAACAACGCTAAATATTATATATGTTTATATGGTAGAATAGCTAAACTAGATTAATTAAGAAAAAATAACATGCTCATCAATTATTAAGCGAAAGCCGATGCAGACAAGGTTCAGTACCAGCAGTTTCCCAAGAATATAGTGTAAAAGTTTCAACCAATTATAATTATTGTAGTATTTAATTGCGTAATATCGGTGTGTTCGATGGAATAGGTTTAAATAAAAAATCTTTTTTTTTCTTAGCAAGGTAGTCCTGGTTCACGCTTTCGCAAGGTTTAAATAAAACAAGGCAATCATATATGAAGGACTAAAAGCAATTTAAAGGTGGCTGCTATTTCCAAAATCTTGAGGTTGCTTTACTGAAACATGCACATTATCGCATAAATGTATAAAAATACAACATTTTCAAATATCCGAGCTTTAGTTGCTTAAACAAAGGAGTTCATCGCACAAGCGCATATAAAATATGTATACGTATGTTTAACTCAACCATCAAAGTTATGTTAAGTAATTTCAACTTACCAGTTAGGTGCGCATCGTGTCTGCCTTTCAAATTCTTTGTTATAACATGTATAATATTATAAATGCGCTTATTTGATCCTCTACTTAAACAAATTAAGGTTATGAATATTTCATATGTATAGATATATGTAAGTAAAATACATATGGTTATTATAAAAGATAATGAAAGGTTGCTAAAATATTACAAACTTTTCTACCTAATTTCTTGATTAATTTTGTATTATTCGTTAAAAACAGCAAATTTTACATAATTATTGGGTAATATTTGTAATAAAATAATAAAGACTAATACTGTCTTAAGTATAATCTAAATAATGCAAGAACATTTTAGTACAAGCGACTGCAGACGCCGCCGGTGAAGTCTTATGTGATTTTAAATAACAATTTTGTATTATTATTCATCTTAGAATCTTTGTAAAATAAAATATTTATTTTTTTATTTAAATTTAATTTCAATATTTCAAATTATCTCCCTTATTATTAAAAAATTTGACGACAGAGCATATCTTATTCCTCTTCTCCCTAATTACACCTTTAGACACATCGGACATCCTTGCTAAGTTTATCACAACGGCACTTTTTCTTTATATTATAAATCCAGCAAGCCAATCTATTTTTCGCATAATATATCTAATACAATGACCTCTTCTATTTATCTAGCTATGGTTGCATTCGAGCTACGTAATAATTACAGCAGTACAGCAACTCTGTTGCATATTTGACGCTTCTAAGTATGCTGATGTGATGCTTGTTTTGCCAAAAAATGGAAATTCATTAAATTATCGACGAAATGAAGTGAACAAATTTTATTTATTAAATATAAATAAAAAAGAAGTATGCTAATGTCTCACTTGTCGATTTCCTGGCGCGTTTGCCGTCGCTTCCAAAGCAACTGTCCGAGTCACCTTCGTTCTCTTTGCATGTGGGACTTTCCAAAGAGTATTGCAAATTTTCCAAAGGAGCTGAAATGCATCAAAATACTCCCAGCTGGTAGCGTCCCTTCCTGTTGATATGTGTCGCTTCTTTATCCGGTTATATGAGACCGACTTATTTAAACATTTTCATTGGATTAGCTCTTTACAGTATGTAACTTCGGAATTCACGGGTTTCATGAAATCTAACACTTTACCCGAAGAAAAGATTTCTCTATGCCGACAAATTTAGCCTCCATGTGAAGTCGACAACGCACCAAAAACTTAATAATTGCAGAATCTGATATTTCGCTGCAAAAGAGTAAAAAAAATGTCTATAAACTAAATTGATATAAAGTGAAATAAATCACAATTATACTAACCTTTCTTTTTCCATTGCGTTGTGCAGACGAAAATATTGTGTTGCTGATTCTTTGTATAAATTGGGCGCAAAAATGTCAGTAGAATGTCATGTTGCAGGTGTTCCCAGAAATTTACGCAGGACGTGATATTCTGGCAACTTTGCAACACTGCTGTCGCGATTGCCATCAGGAATGCACATCATGTTCCTTAATTCTTTAAAAAAATCTAACCGATTCCGTATAATTATTGAGAAAAAAGGTGATAAAGGTAGAAGGTCTTTTTAGGTTGGTTTATCTAAGCCACTAATCTGTCGGAATTATGAGGATAACGCAAGAATCATATTTCGTATACAGAACAGACTTGGTAGTTTATAAAAGGAAAAATATTCAAAATCTAAATATTAAATTTTCACTCTCTAATACTTAACTTCTTCTATAAGAAACGCTATTTTGTGTACTCTCAGGCTCTTGTGGAACGCAACTGTAGTATTGTGCTAGAAATGATGAAAGAGGATGAATTCCGATTAAATGGAAAAAGTATAAGGTTATAATGATGCAATGCGCTTTATAAGTCTCCATTTAATTGCCTTCTCTAATGTTTGACTCTATGTACATTCCGTTTTTCTTTTCTTTGAGCAACGAAATACGCATTGAACCGGTAGTAAAAAAATGGCTTGTAAAATTTATGTAAGTACATATATGTTTGCCATTAAGCTTTCGAAATTGTTAAATTCACTATATTTAAAATAGCTAAAATTCCTACAGCTGATTTAAGGTACAATAAATTTCATTTTCAAATTTCATTGATATTGATATTTTATACATATATAAATCTTCTAACGGATATATGGAAATTAATATACATACATGCTTAACTTACACACTTGTTATGTAAGTTAACAAACAAGTAACACTGTAATAAATGGTTAAACAATCATAGAAACGCATATGCATATATTAGGATAGATTTTGAATAATCGAATAAATTTAAAAATTAAAAATTTGTAGAGAAGAAAAATAAGAAACCTTGAAGGGAAATTTTTTCTGTATTCTTAATAAAAATAACAAATTTATTTGTACTTTTGAAATCAAACTATTACGTATCATAAAATTTCAATTGAGAACTCGCACTATAAATAAAAAATAAAATAAAAAATATGCATGCATAAATATATTAGTACATACATGTACTAAAAAAATATAAAAAGAATTGTAGATTATATTCAAAATTATGTAAAATTCAATACTAAATACAATTTTCAACAATCTTTAGAATACAGTTGTACCAAAAAAAATACAAAAACATTACATATACATTAGTGTCGGTTATTTGCCCTGAAGTTTCAGTTTTTGCCATAAAAATAAGGACCAACATAAACAAGCTCTTTATTTTCAATTTAAACCGTGCCTAAATCATATTTCTTTTGCTTAGAGTAAAAAGATATACGAAAAACTCTTATCAACTAATATTATTTTAATTTCAGATATAGATAGTTGCAATGTGAAGTAAATAGTCGATTTTCTTTACTGTTGCAAAATACTATTATAATGTAGCGATCATTGCTCCCTTCTTAAGATTGTATGTATTTGCCAATTTTATAACATCAGATTTTTTGATATTTTGCATAAAGCAAGTAAATTTACAGCTTTGAAAAAATTAGTTTTTATTACATAATTCTTTACTCTGCAAAAAAGTTCTGAATTTTTTTCATTAACACATTCCTTATACGCAGGTAAAGTTATACATCAAATGACCTGAGCCTTTATTCAAGTGATTTATACTGGTATATTCTCGATTATTCATACGACATTGTATACTATGTGAATATATGTAGTACATTTGATGCATAACTTTAACTGCGTATAACTTTAAATGCATGATTTTGTGAAAAAAATCATTAATACTTTTTCTAGAGCGGAATTTTGTATTAGAATATAACTTTTTCAGAATTGTAAATTTATTGAATGAAAATAAAGAGCTTCTTTCCTTTGGATCCTTTTTTTTTAAAACCAAAAACTGATACTTCAGGGGACTTTGCAACAAAAAAAATCAAGATAGAATATAACAGACACTCGAATATACCTACATATATATGTATGTTTATAATGGAATATAGATAATTAATTTTGAGTTAATTTTTGATCGATATAGTCTAAGAGCCAGTGGACGGCAAACTGTATGTATTTTACCAAAGGTGATATTTTGCTAAAAGATTCTGCTATAGCTACCATACAAGAGGTCGAGAGCCACTAAGCGAAGCTATGACGTCACTAAGGTAATACAGGTATAAAAATTAGAAGAGTTTCGAGTTTTCGTTTTGAAAATTAAAACACAAATTCAAAAGTATTTTAACAAATCTGATTTTTATAAATATTAGGTAATATATTATATAAATATACAAGTATATATATTACCGTCTGCCGGACTGTTACAACCGTTGAAAACGTCTGCCGTTTTAATAATAAGCTAATACAAGTATTAAAAGTATAATATGTATATAAAAATCAGATTTGCTAAAATACTTTTAATTTTCTTTTAATTTTCAAAACGTCTGACACTTACAAAATGGTCTCCCAATAATTTTGGGCGATGCATTCATTGTACTCTTTAATATGACCAAACAGTAGCTTTGTTAAAATACTTTCGAAACTCTTCTAATTTTCATACCTGTATTACCTTAGTGACGTCATAGCTACCTTCGCTGGGCTTAGTGGTTCCCGATCTCTTGTAAGGTAGGTAAAGGAGAATCTTTTAGCAAAATATCGTCTTGGGTAAAATACATAGAGTCTGCCGTCCACTGGCTTTTAGACTAATATTTAAAAAGCACACTGAAGGCCGTTGAGCTTACTTTGAAAACGTATATAAAAAAATATTTTGAAGCGTAATTTTTTTATTATTATATACATAAATCAATACAGCAAATTACAATAATAAAATCAAGAGAAGAAGAGAATAAAAATGAAAATACTAATAAAAGGAATTAAGATTAATGCATTGATACTTACTTGTATTAAAGTTAAATCTAGCTGAATAAATACAGTAATGAAAATGGTCTATGTATATGTAAATTTGTGGAAAAAATAAAGTTAAATACTCTTAAACTCTAACTCAAAGCATATGTTTCAAAATGTATGTATGTTGGATGTTCTCCGTAAAAACATACATTTCTTTTTTTTTTGTTATTAATTTTACGTTCTTTTTTCCAATACTACTCCTGCAAGTGGTAGTTGACTAATTTTATACATACTTATATTATGAAAGAACGTTAAAACTTCCACTTAATATTTACTTCATCTCTCAATAATTTATAATGATTCAAGTTCTCTTCGTTTTCACAGTACTATATTTTCTTTCAACATAAGTACGTATGTTTGTATGAAAGGTGAAATGTTTTCATTTTCTTCTATATCGAATTTTATGTATACATATCGTCACCTAAAATGCCAAACAACGTATCACAAAAAATTCGAAATTGAGCTTTTAATTTATTACGATTCACTACAAGATATTACATACACACATGTGTGTATGTACTAAGTATACATTTTTAAGCTTCCTCTTTCAGATATAACCAAGTTATAACCAACTTCAAATGTGTACTCAATATGATCAGTTTCAATTTTTTTATATTTTGCGTTTTAGGTGACGATATATTGTTATATTTAACTATATTGTATATTATGATATATATGTGCAATATATTTTGAAAACAAACTGTCAAAGTTGAAATACACTAATGTGTGGAAGTTTGTGTTCTACAACAGCTTCTGTATACAGAAAATAATCAGAAGAGTGAAGTAGGGGAAAATACGAAAAGATCTTAATATGTTGTTGTACTCGTGTATGGTCGGATACAAATAAAAAAAAAATATACGAAAAATTTTAACTTCAGATATGAACAAAGAATTATAAGCAGTAATAAGAAGAAAATAGTCGATTTTGTTTACTTTTGCAAAATAGTTGGTACACGAAACGAAACGGAAAAGGTGAAGAAGATCGTTATATTTGGCCCAAATCAAACTGACAGCTGAATGGAGTGTGTGTAGTCATATATAGAGTTCCGCGAATCAGAAAATTGGAAAAACATCACTTATTTGTTTATCTTTCTCTTTAACCAAGTCGATAAGCATGTTAAAAGTTTGGTACCCTATCTTAATAAAATTATGTATTCTAAATGAAAAGACCCAATACCAAAACAATTCCTCTATTTTGCAGCGCGACGGAAATTTGCTGACCTTGCCCTCCCACGAGTGAAGTTGTTTATTTCGTGAATCAGAATCTGATATTTCGCTGCAAAAGAGTAAAAAAAATGTCTATAATCTAAATTGATATAAAGTGAAATAAATCACAATTATACTAACCTTTCTATTTCCATTGCGTTGTGCAGACGAAAATATTGTGTTGCTGATTCTTTGTATAAATTGGGCGCAAAAATGTCAGTAGAATGTCATGTTGCAGGTGTTCCCAGAAATTTACGCAGGACGTGATATTTTGACAAATTTGCAACACTGCTGCCGCGATTGCCATCAGGAATGCACATCATGTTCCTTAATTCTTTAAAAAAAATCTAACCGATTCCGTATAATTATTGAGAAAAAAGGTGATAAAGGCAGAAGGTCTTTTTAGGTTGGTTTATCTAAGCCACTAATCTGTCGGAATTATGAGGATAACGCAAGAATCATATTTCGTATACAGAACAGACTTGGTAGTTTATAAAAGGAAAAATATTCAAAATCTAAATATTAAATTTTCACTCTCTAATACTTAACTTCTTCTATAAGAAACGCTATTTTGTGTACTCTCAGGCTCTTGTGGAACGCAACTGTAGTATTGTGCTAGAAATGATGAAAGAGGATGAATTCCAATTAAATGGAAAAAGTATAAGGTTATAATGATGCAATGCGCTTTATAAGTCTCCATTTAATTGCCTTCTCTAATGTTTGATTCTATGTACATTCCGTTTTTCTTTTCTTTGAGCAACGAAATACGCATTGAACCGGTAGTAAGAAAATGGCTTGTAAAATTTATGTAAGTACATATATGTTTGCCATTAAGCTTTCAAAATTGTTAAATTCACTATATTAAAAATAGCTAAAATTCCTAAAGCTGATTTAAGGTACAATAAATTTCATTTTCAAATTTCATTGATATTGATATTTTATACATATATAAATCTTCTAACGGATATATGGAAATTAATATACATACATACTTAACTTACACACTTGTCATGTAAGTTAACAAACAAGTAACACTGTAATAAATGGTTAAACAATCATAGAAACGCATATGCATATAATGGGATAGATTTTGAATAATCGAATAAATTTAAAAATTAAAAATTTGTAGAGAAGAAAAATAAGAAACCTTGAAGGGAAATTTTTTCTGTATTCTTAATAAAAATAACAAATTTATTTGTACTTTTGAAATCAAACTATTACGTATCATAAAATTTCAATTGAGAACTCGCACTATAAATAAAAAATAAAATAAAAAATATGCATGCATAAATATATTAGTACATACATGTACTAAAAAAATATAAAAAGAATTGTAGATTAAATTCAAAATTATGTAAAATTCAATACTAAATACAATTTTCAACAATCTTTAGAATACAGTTGTACTAAAAAAATACAAAAACATTACATATACATTAGTGTCGGTTATTTCCCCTGAAGTGAAGTTGTTTATTTCGTGACTTTGTCTGTCGCCTATTCTGCATTTTGGTGAATGTATGTATGACTGTAAGGGGTAAGGTGTAGTCTCAGACATGAATAAACTACTTTAAATAATTTTTGTTGACAGAATATTATGTTTTTTTTTGTAAAAATAAGAACATAGCATCATTAATAAAGTTTCAACTTGACTTAAAAAATTTAAAAAAAAATAACAATAAAAAAATAAATAAAGTAATGGCTGTTTATGTTAATCCAGTTCCAGCCAAATCTCCTTGTATTGACCATCACTAATGTTTGGAGATTCATCTAAAATCAATCGGTAAAAAATATTTGTTTTCTTAAAGATAATCTAGAGCCTGATCGAAAATTTTTTTGAATCAATGAAATGGCGACCTCAGGAAATTTATAAAAAATTGAAATTAAAGCTTTTCATGTTTTCGAGCAACAGTGGTCACCAGAACAGAAAAACATAGTTTCGAGTAAAACGCATAATGCATTTCAAGTTTTATAAGAACATTTCAGATCGCCAGTAAAACGTTTGCTAATTATCGAATAACTGGAAAAGTACTTTTGGATGTACTTAAAATTTTCAGGGAATAGAAAAAGTATGTTTTTTGAAAATTATGACTACCCCTAACCCCAAAACTAATGTGAATAGAATTTAAATGTACTCGTTTGAACTTTTAGGTTTATCAAAAATTTGGTTGAGATAATTTGATGGACCGATTTTCTGCATTTTTTTATTATGTACTCTGCACATTAGCGTAGGAAGTGATAAATATAGACGCACTGTTATTAAAAACTTCACCGTTGAATTTATTTAAAAAAAAGTATTTCTGTTAAGGTTGGGGTATGCTGATTACTGATATGCAGTTTAGCAAAAGGCTTTTTAAAATATTGTTGATACACAAATAATTCTTATAATAATTTTTAATTTAGTAATATATTTGTTCGCATTATTTTTTGTCTTGAAATTGATTTTACATATTAATTGGTTCATTCTTTTTTACAGCTCTTATGTCTAATTTTTTACAAATTGGTTTATCCACGATTTGAAGGCTTACAATTTAAACTATAATTTTTTCGTTAGTTGCGATTCCTATTTCAGAAAATTCTAGAGCTGCTAAATTATCTTAAGAAATTCCGGCTACTCGTGGCGTTTTACACTGAGCACTGGGACCTCGAGAAGAATCTGTTTCATATGGATATAACGTTAGGTGACCATATTTTTTCCGACAAAATCCGGGATGGGTTTTTTTAGTCATCGATTTTTTCCATATTATAATTCACTGAAAATCGCGACATATTAAGGTGAGAGAGCAACACAATTTTATTCAAAAAGAATGGAAATGATAAAAGAAAAAGCTAAGTAATATTAAAAATGATTCAATCACTGTCTAATTCGAACGTTTGTATATCAGTTGAATTTAGTAGTTTCTTTTTGCAGGTTCTCCATTTCCACTTTTACTTGCAACGGAAAGTAATTGTGTTGGCTGGATGTTTGCAAATTGTTCATAAAATGTTGCAAGTGTTTGTAAATTGCAACTGCTGGAATGTCAGCGCCTTCAATTTTCTTAATTGTTACTTCGAAAATCATGGTCCTAAATTAATGAGATAATAATTTAATAAATTTCTGTTAATAAAAATATATTTTCATCTGTTTATGAACAAAAATGAACCAGAGCTTTGAAGGTGGATTACTGAAAAAATGGCGGATACATTTGGCTTTTTTGAGTGGTGAAGGAAGATCGTCGAAATACGTTTTCAAAGGTTGGAACATTCGATGATTTTCCCCAAAGCTTTTCTCAAGCCAATGAATCGAGTTTTGTAATAACCAACCAGTTGATCGTATTATTCTTCAGAAATCTCGCAGATTGACTTTAATGCTTCTGTACGAATGGTTTGGATGTAAAAATGTGTGTAGATCTGAGCAACAATGCTCTCTATTTCAACATCAACTGCATTACATGCGTTACGAATCGCATTATGTATGATATTCGCTGCACAACCTACACCAACTATGTTCGATTTTAATTTCTTTAATTTTGTAAAAACATTTTCTTCCCTTTTCCGATCAACGCGACCGAAATTAATCGGTGCATTGTCAAAAACAGTAAGCGATCAATTTATCAGTCAAATCCAAGATTTTATCAATGGAAAAATCATATCCGACTTTTCACCTTTTTCTTTTGAAATTATTTTAACATTCTCTCCAAATAATGGAAAAAAATAACAACGACGAAAAGGAAACATCTTGATTGCTTTGCGATCGGGCTTTCTGTAAATCAGACTTGAGGCATTCCAATGCGTATGGTGCAAAAACATTGGTTATTATCGCTTCACTTTTTGTTTTTGAACACGAAATTTTTTTCATTTGGAAACAGGTTCATAATATTTTGGTTGCGCGGTCGTTTGATCTAGAATAAAAAGTTTCAAAAAAGTTTGAATCGGACGAAAACTGCTTTACATTACATTGTTGCAACGAACGTTGGAATCGTTATAAGTGACTTTCACAAAAAGATATTTTTTCTTCAAATTATCGTTGAAACACACTTTCGTTTCGACATTTCGCAAAGTAATATTTATTCGTAGATATTTATGCTTCAAATTCACAAAATCGCATATGTTTCACTTTGAATGAAAGCAATCAGCTGTCAGTGAACAACGTTGACGTTCGCGCGAAAATCTATACAGAATTCAATGCATTCAAACGGAATGTAGAATATAAAAATAAAACATACTGGGTGGACCATCTACATTTTGTATTATTTTCCGTTTATTGAGAATTTGTTTTTTAAATTTCTAAGCCCGGGACGCTTAACTCGGAATCCGGGATTGTCCCGACTAAACCGGGACGAATGGTCAGCTAAGTATAACCTCTTGTGCAAACTGCCGGTTCTCCGACATGGAGCCGAAAACTCCCGAGCACCTAATTGGAGACTGCACAGTCTGTAGACGCAAGGCGCCCTTGGATCTATATATCCAAAAAGGGGTCACATCGTCTCAATAGCACCCAGCAGGATACTGAAATTTTTCAGAGTGCTGGGTCCATGTGAGTCGGTGTGACAAAGGGGAGAGAACAATATACCTTAGGTTGCGGTGCAATCCTCAATTTATTTATTTCTATCTATGGAACTACTTAAAAGGAAGTTTTGTGGTAAAAATATTCAACGTTTGGCTAATTGAGGAACATACATAAGTACTGAATAGCCTATGGATATAATTTAAGAATTAGCTTTGTTCCCGAAGTTTCCTGAAAAAAAAAACGCTGCAGTATTGGCAAACTATAAAAACAAATAAAGTACGTTCAGTGGGAAGGTAAATACAAAATATACGTGAACGCTTTTCAGGTAAACGCTGTAAATTATCTGTCATTGAATTAAAATAAAATCAATTCTATAGTATATAGTATATAGTCTTCAATTTGACATGTAGGTTTACAGTAAAATAAACTCAGTACAGGATTTGTATGCGTAAATCGAATTTTAGTATACGGTTGAGTAGCTGCTAATAGTAAGGGCCAACATCCATGCATGATTGGGGTGTTGCAGTTTGGACTACCACACATATATCATTAATATGAAACAGATGTATAATTTGTGTAAGCTGCTTTCCTTTTAGTTATTGGACAATTTTCTAGAAAATATAATAAAGTTATTGATAAGCGTAAATATCCATTAATGTTTTCAAAACAAAAACTCTATAGTACGGTAATGTTATAACAATAATAAATAGTAAAGTGCATAAAAATAGAAAACATATTGGAATGTTTATAAAAACATCTATACAAATGCAAATGATAATTTCAGCTAGAATAATTAAAATTAAAAACACTTAATCTTCAAAACAAATGCTACAAAATTCAAGTGCATATTTTCCGTACACTATTCTTACCAAAAACTTAAATTTAATTATTTACTAATAATTAATGTCTACTATAAGAAGTTTAAGCAAAACAATGCAAAAACAAGCACTGCAACAACATTATCAAACTTATCAAAGTGTTCTGTTTGATGTAAAATATATAAATTCAATATAAAAAAATATAAAAAAATAAAGTCAATAATAAAATACTTCTAAAATGAAACAATAATTGAGTTTAGCTTGGTGATTAGAGTCAGATGATGAGATCAGAGAGAACTGATGATGAGTTCTACGATATAGTTTATATTTACTTGATCCTATTTTTTTTTATTAATATGCAGTTATAAGAATCTCAAACAAACAAAAATCCGGAAAATCCGACATCATAAATTTTTTATATAAAACGTCGTTGGATATGAAATTGCATAAAAGCAATTCTGCTTGAGAAAAATATGGGAAGAAAAATTCACTAACGAAAAAGGAGTCCGAATTCAGTAATATCGGATATCATCTACAATATAATATATGTAACTATTTACAAGTATAATACTCACTTTCGAGTTTGCGTTTGCTTTATCGATTCGCGGTTTTTATTTTAGATTTTTCCTCTGAAAAACATGAAAATATTAAAAAAGAGCATGAATTTTGGCCAACACGTACACTATAAGTCGAAAGTAAACGGTAAAAAGCAAATATTGATCCTAAATCAATATCAAAGCACCTCGTAGTATTCAGAAAATAACGGAAATTTTAAAATTAAAATTTCGCGAGTTTGGAGAGTCCAATTGTCAATATTACAACAGATCGCCGAGCAGTTTTCTACTCGACTTGTACTCTTGCTCTCTGAGAGCAGCGTCGAAGAAAGAAATGCGTGAGTGTGAACAGATTGAGACGCTGGACGACATGTGTAATGCTTGAAATATTTATGAAAAGATGCGGCGACTTCCAGAAGGTTTAAAGACCTTAAAAATTAAGAAAGCAGCGGGAACCGATGACCTATCAGCCGAGCTATTCAAATACTGCGCCGAAGAACTGAAAAGGTGTATGTATCAGCTTCTCTATAGAATATGGCCGGATGATAGCATGTCTGGTGGTTGAAACCTAAGTGTGCTCTGCTCAATCCATTAAAGGGGCACCACACAGTCTGTGCCAATTATTCTCAATATTACTTATAAGGTCCCATAAAGCGTAATATGGAAAATATTAAAGACCACTGTCAATGAATTGACTGGAAGTTTTCAGCGCGGTTTTAGGCCTGGTAAATTCATCATTGACCAGATATACTTGTATACCATGCATGTTGGAAAAGACCCGAGAGAAAAGAATTGGTACACATCATTTTTTATCGAAAGACAGCGGCTGTGCTGGCTAGGTCAATTTCTTCGAGTGAACGAAAGCGCTTAAGCTTTGAAGGTGTTTGATGCAGTACCCGTTGGTGGAAAGGGAAACCCTCCACTCCGTTGGAAAGATCAGGTGGAGAGGGACGTATTTTTGTTTGGTATTTCCAACTGGTCCGGAAATTGTGAGGAGAAAAAAAGAATGTCGCGGTATTGTTTATTCGTCTCTAATCGCGTAAGCAGTGCTTACGCCAATGTGGCGGTAGTAGTATTTGCAGTTCTCCTTCAACATGACTTAATGTTCTTTCCTAAAGTCTTGAATAGAATATCATGGACACGAAATAAGACGAACTATTTATGGAAACTTACTGAAAATACGTGGAAAAGTAATAATAATTTCTACCTTAAAAAATAAACCCGCATTGATTACTTTTAGTTCCTAATATACGATAGAGATGCATACCGTTGCTAGCTCCGATGATTATGGTGCCATTTTGTTACAGCAAATTGATAACAAACCGCATCTGGTTTAGTATTGCAGTAAAAGAACTTCTCCACCAGAATCCAAATATGACTTATACGAATTAGAGATATTAGCTGT